ACAGAGAGCCCACCGTATTACTCTTTCGTGAATAATAACATATTCTAAATCTTTACAATTTGTTATCTATAATATCAGCTTTACAAATAAAATATTTTAATGTTTTCTCCACGCCTTCTAAGTGATTTCTTTCTTTGACATTTTAAATGAAACTTGTGTGGTCACCTCTTGTTTCTTCTTGAGCATGTTTCCTGTCCATTCTATGCAATTAAGGATACAGAACGAATCATGAACCTCCTCACTACCGGTATGCAATTTATTCTTTAGCATATGACATATTTCTGGAGAGCCAGTAAGTTGTGTGGAGAACACAGCCCACGGACGATCTCGCCCGTCAAGCTGTGATGTACGTGACTTCGGAACCACAGTTCCTCGCATTGCGACAGGCACTTTTTCCCCTTAACACTGATTGATGACGTCTTCCGGACATTATCAGTGTTATTATTTATAAGGCTATTCAGTTGTCAGCCATGTGTATTGTTGAACAAATTACGCCAAACCACAGCGACTTCATGCAGGAAAGCTGCGAGCTGTTGCCGGATTTGAAAGTCATCACTCTTGAGTGTAAACAAGACAACTGACATGAGAGTCTTAAACAAGTTAGCAGATCTGCGAATATCGGCACAATTGTGGCGCGTCCGTCCCCTTAATGCATCGCATTGGTGTAATTGTCTCGAGGTCCGCAAGACTTTAGGGAAGCGTATAAACGTAAAAAGGTGGAAAAGGCGGTGGAAATCCATAAGCTTTTCTAAACAGTCGGCTCACAGACGGCGGTGAGGTTGTCAGCCTTACGCGCCGCCCGCCCTTTAGCCCCAGGACGATTCCTGGTACTCATTTTTGTTAGAGGCTGAGCCGACCCCAGGACCACAGTGCGGCTGGAAAGGTTAGGTCAATTGAAAAATTGAGATACCTCATCGGAAATCGAACCCGCGACCTTGTGGCTTGTAGAATAGTGCCTCGAAAAACTACGCTATCACTCATACAGAAAGAGTGTATTGGCGGAAAATGTGTATGTTGATTTTTGTACAACTTTTGCAAAAGCATTTTTCTATCCGATAAATATACGCGTACGTCCTCTTGTAAACTCTCTGTTTTCGTCAGATGTTAACCAAAACTGGAAAGCACCTAGAAAGTTCAGTGGAAATGTGCAATATGAATTGATCTCGAGTGCTTAAATCCGGAGAGACAGAGAGGCATGGCGAAGCTAAGACGCCCATTTCTACAGCTTTCGCAGTAAACCGTCCGAAACCTGCTTTAGGATTCTGCCGTACAGACCTATAGGTTGGCAATCGAAACACCAGGAATCTTGCCCCTTAATTATATGAAGCCATACTCCCTGTACTCCTCGGTTCCGTATATGTACGTATAACACAACGTGACACAACTTATAATTAGGCTAAGCTTCCTGATTTCTTCAAATTGCTCCAAATTGAATGTGCGTGTAAAAGTATGGGATACAAATTTGTATAACATACGAGGGAATGTTTCATTTCTTATATTTCATTGGTACACCTGATAAATGTAGTCGGTCGTTAAGCAACTGTGAAATAATTTAAATACGTCGAAAATTTAACTGCATACTATCGGCCGTGAAATTCATGGAAACCGTTTTATTTCGAAAAGTAATATTTAGTTGTGATTGAAAACTAAATGTTTTCCACACAGGGATTCTTGTGTAAATGTTGCCATGGTTAAAGCTGAATGGTCAGAGTTGACGTCGTGTAACAGAAAGTTTACAATGGATATTATGCGGCCTTTCAACGATGGTCGTGTCTGTCCACGTGTTTCAACTCGAGAACAGCTGGACAGATTTTGGTTAAATTTGGGATCGACATAATGCTGTCGATTTCCTGACATCAGAAGCGTCAATATGAAGGATTCACGAGCTTATGAGTTGGGGTCAGGACAGTAGTGACACGATAAAAGATTCTGAACTTATGTGTGATAACAGATTTTCCAAAAAAAGCACGACCTTGTTATTGTAGTATTTTTGTATTTATTTTGTTTTGTAAGACACCATAACAGCTGTAGCCTGAAATATATATTTAGTTTTTACTTTAATAGCGATACCTAACGAACCACTGGAATTTGGAATGTGGGATCTGGTGTAGCGATATCTCATTCTTATGTATACAATTCTGTATTAAATACTCTTTGTAAGTCACAGGCTAAAACACGGTAACAACTCCAATCTTCGATGTTGAGCAGGCACCATTACACAGCGTAAAGGAAACTGCTGGCTTGTCTACAGCAGCTGCTAACATTCAGGATGCAAAGGTTCTGGAAACAGTGCGTTCCGTTCTTTTGGTACGTGTGTCTTCAGACTTCAAGCATATTCCGACCTCACTCTTAGGCCGTGGATCCTGTCACGCAGAGAATATGAATGCTGTAACAGGGTAACCAATCACTGTCGCCTTCAGCACATGAACGGCATTTCTGATCTACAAGTAGGTAGGTCTTACGTTTGCGATTTTCTGACGTGAAATCGTGCGAATCAAATATCCCTTGTCGAATCTGAGGTTCCACTACATTGCCTATGAAGAGTTGTGTCTGAATATCCCAAAGTTTTATGGAACTCCTTGGTTCATTGCCATGTTCAGAAGAATCTGCCATTGGTCTTCATCTTGAACTGCATGAATCCAGTCCATTCCATCACATCCAGATTCTCTAACATACATTTTAATATTACCTTCGCATCACAGTCTAGATCTTTGTAATAGTTTCTTTCCTTCTAGCTATCACAACTAAATCCTGTATGCATTCCTCTTCTTTCCCTTGTGTGCTACATTCCCCACCAATTTCACCCTCCTTTCCTTGATAATTATAATTATATTTGACGAAGAGTCCAGCCTACAAATTATGAAGCTCCTCATTATACAGCTCTCTACAACCTCCCGTCACTTCAGCTTTCTTGGGCCCAAATATTCCCCTCAACGCCCTGTTCTCAAACACCCTCAATCTACGCTCCTCCCTTAATATCAGAGACCAAGTTTCACACCCATACAGAATACGTGCAAACTTAATTTTGAAACACTTGGAGATTTAACAAGTTCACTGTTATAGAATCTGGGTACATTTTGTGGGAATCATCCAACGTAAACGAGATGGCGTGGGAGGGGGGTCTGGCGTTCTCATTAGAAGATTTCCAGAAACCTAAAGATCCTAGTGCCTGTGGCGAGTCGAGTTACATGGGGCCCACCGTACCGAGTCGCCTTTACCAACTTCATAATCTGAAGGTCTTGGGCACAAATATAAATAATTTAGGTGGCTTATTCCAAAATTTTCACGGGGTTAACGACTCACATCGGGCAACATCCTAGCCAATTCATTATTCACAGATCACCACAGCAAAGGTACGTAGCAGGGGTGGCCAAATTATCGAACATCCGAGCCACATATCACAAATTTCAGAAGTTGGGGAGGCGCAAACATGCTTGCAACCGATGACACAGGTGTTCAGGTACAGGCATCTCCTGCAATAGATGTTTCATATACCGTATTTACGCATGTATAGGCCGCGTGCGTGTATAGGCCGCAGCACAATTTTCAGACAGAAATTATAGAAAAAATAATTTTCTTGGAATATTATTTCAGGAGTAGAACGCCCTGTAGTACTAATTATGAATATATTTTTTTTTAAATGAAGTGTGATTTCGAATATAAGCCGCACCTCAGTTTTCATCTTGAATTTTGGGCAAAAAATGTGGGGCCTATACATGCGTAAATACGGTATTTAATCTATCTTTAGATAGGTGGCGTATTGAGTAATATCTTTCCGTGTGCGTCATCAAAGGGAACCTCGTGCTGCTCGCGAACCACAGTTTGGTCATGCCTAATAGACAGTCTCATTTTCTGAGAGCGCCACTGTTTAATTTATGACTGAATGAAATTACAGTCGCCTACATGCTTTAATCGATGAAATTATTTTTTTTCGGTATGAAGTTCATATTTTTCTGTTAGTTACAAAATTTTTTCAAACTCACAGACACAACCTCTGTTCAACACAAACGTCAGGGCACTCTCCCCCGCACTGCCGCCCACGCCGGGGTTTAGGTCAATCGACTACTTCAGTTCTAATGGGCAGCGAAAATTGCCTACGCCACTGGATTTACCGTTAGGTAACTCGACATTTCTCCTAGAGAGAACATTGCTTAGTTACAGTTGGCTCTCAGAATAATCAGCGACAGTTTTCGAGTAAGCACGTGATGTGTTTGTTCGAGTAAGAACCAGATTCCTGTACAGTGTTCAGATGAGGATTTACAGTGCATCCTTCGGAATACATTATTTATTGAACGCTGTATAGGCGGAGCCACTGAGAGCGTCGATATAAAACCATGAATAAATGAAGCAGTCCGTCTGTTGTCCTTTGAAGGGCTAGAGCATTTCAGTCTGGACTGTAGTACTACCTGTTCGTTACAATTCTGAAAGAATAAAATCAGGTTCATAACGAGTTATTTCGCCTGTGACTCTAACTGACCACCTTAAGCCTTTCAGACACAGTGGTTTATATATATGCTATTTGCTTTAATATACATCAACTTTTATTTTTACCCACACGAAGTATTTATGGGTTCGTATGAGCATTATAATACACCGCGGTAATTTCTCAAAATAGAATTAACTGTCCGACTTTTGTAATTGGTACGCTTTGCGTTTTGTGTGAAGAAGACACTAAATTGTTAAATATTATCGAAATTAATTTTACACTTCACCGTACTCTTTCTGTATGGTCGAAGGGGCATTGCCTGGGAAGGTGCAAAGTTGCAAATGTTTCTGTTTCCCCTGTAAAAATAAGTACTGCCTCTTANCCCCCCCCCCCCAACATTCTCTCTTCGTCGGACTTCTGAGGGTTAAGGTATTTTAGTTGTGGACCGTGCCACCGTGTGTTGGTTAGTTTGGAACTAGGCGTGGGGACTTTTGACACAGGTGAGACTGTATGGAACAGTCTTCCACGTCTGAGAAATATTTGCCACACTAACAAGACTGATAGTTTGACTTACCTGTTTGGAGGCAGCTGGACCAGAACAGGCGTTCACTCGCTTCCAGCACACACCGAGCACAAGTGAAGCAACGTAAGGCCCAGTCGCCCGCCGCAATCGATGCGGGGACGGCGCACTCAATGGCTCGTTCTACGCTGCTGGAGTACTACGGCCGGCTGCCATAGTAACGAGCGGGCGCAACGAAAGAATTGCCTCAAACACCGGTTTTCAAATTGTGGCTCTCGGGCCCGCAGAGTCTTCAACATCGCAAGCTATATAGATTCGAATTGAAAGGGATTTGGAGGGAAGCGGTCCTGGTTCGATGTAGGTACTGAGGAAAACCGCCGGTCGCCCCCCCACGAATGCTAGTGTGATGTGAGGTAGGAGAGGGACTGTCTCCGCTATATGTTGGCTGAGGCGCACACCAAGTGCGTGTACTGCAACAGGACATACAGTGGTGCCAGGTAGTGCCACAGTCCGGCGGGGTTGCTTGTTCCGTTTTAAGCCCCAGTGTGTGAAGGAACATCTGTGCATGTATGGAGGTCAGTGGTGAGTTTCACGCCCCGTCCGCTTTAACTTCGGGGAAAGGAAACCCAGTCCAATTAGGTAGGAGGCTGGCTGGGCTGTGAAGGGGGGAGAAATGTTTCTTCCTGCGGGGCGTGGAGCACGATCCTCCTGTGTATGTTACTTATCGACGCTGTTGTGTCTAGACTGTGTAGCGCTGAAGGACTGGATACTTGGTGAAATGGAAAGAAATTCGAAGGGAGAGGCCGTGGTTCAGTCAACTGAGGTGCTGCACGGGGATTCGTCGGGAGCGATAGAGAAAAATCACGAAGTTTTTAATGTAGCCGGAGTACTGGCCCAGATTCAAACCGAGCGGCTCCAGAATATCATAGTCATTATGTTGTCTGAGCTACCGTCTTTCTTTGTACAACCAAGTCGTATGAAACTGGGAGCTGGAACATGTAGACAGGCCCAGCGAACCGGGAGTGCGAAGAACTGAACAGGGAAATAGGGAAAATTTTGCCCAAAAGATAAATATCGAGAAATGAAAAAACTGGTAGAATGTCACAGTAGAACAGAAAATTGTGTGGAAAACCAGCCCAAGGAGACATGGGGAGTTGGCAGGAGGAGAGAAGAAAAACAAATTCGCATTGGAAAAATAAACAAAGCTTCGAGATGGGAGGCGGTTTGGGTGGGGGCCATGCCAGAGAAAATGAGGAAACAAAGGAGTGAAAGTAGAGTGGAGAGAAAATATGGAAGAGGATGAATATATAGACAGCGTCAGGAATGGATTATGGGAAGCAAGAGAAGGAAAACGCGAAAGAATATTCCAGGCTGCAACACCGGGCCAGTCCACTGCTCGAGGGGAAGGTGGGCCGCTGCGAAGTAATTAGCAAGAATCCCTCTCCGGGCCTCTCTCAAGCGATTCGCTTGAGTTCTTGCAACACTAGAAAGGTAAAATTATCCGTGCGCCATGAAGACTCTTAGGGGTGTGGAGACCTGTACTGAGCTAGTTATAGCATCGTTAAAAGGTCATAAATAAACGGTATCCACTGATGCGTTCCTCGGGACTAGATGAGTGTGACTGGTCAGCTTGACTCATTTTTACCCCTGGATAAGACGCCCTAGGTACGCCATGGACAGAAAGCTGGGTGGATCTCGGAGCCGATCTGGACGCGGTGAAGACAAGAGCTTGCCTCTACAGGGAATCGAACCCGGATTCCTCGTTCCGTAGAGTCCTTGAGGAGCTAGCAGTCACTCAGCTAAGCAAGAAATTCCTGAGCCAGCTGAATACAGTTCAACTCCTGTATTATTTCCCTAAGATCCTTTTTAATGAAATTGACGTCTTCTGGAGTGTGCCATCTACTAGCTGGGTGGAGGGTGGAGGCTCCAACACGGTGTCACCCCAGCAGATAGTATGGATATTAATTTTCACTACTTTCAAAACGTAAAAGCCTACACTTTAATATTATCCCCCCATTTGCGCAGAGGTCTTCACTGAGCTCTCATCCCTTCAGGTTTTGCATCCCGAATGTGTGGCAGTTGTCAGTTTGCTTCCTTGGCAACAATAAGAAGCATGTTAGTGTCAGGTAGGTTAAGAAGTTGCAAAGAAGTGGGCTTTTGGTGCACTTGACTTCAGCCCCTGTAATTAGCTTCACTGAGCTTGATTCATTGCGAAGGAGACCTGTTGCTCAGAGCTATCGTAGGATTGGTTGCAAGTAATTGATGTACGAGGTGCTAATATCGATATTTATCGATGACACCGCCACATGTTTCAGGCATGACTGATGTCCGATAGGTAGGACTCCTAATCTTAGCATTTGCTCGTCTTTCTGTTGTGGGCCAGTTCCTTTGACGCCTACCATTCTCCACCAATCGCCCATGTTCCTGATGCGGCCCGTGCTCACAGTAGCACGGAGTCAGCTGGCTCAGGCTCTCGGGAAGTGCGCGGGCATGACCACGGTCGGGAAACCGTGGCAGACAAATTTCGAGACAGTTCCTCGAATTCTGTCCCGACCACTTCCGTCTCCTTCCTCCGTCGTACCATTCGACCGCACAGATTGTGAGGTACTGACTGACTCAGCTGCTGGCTAGTCAAGAAGTTCATCTGGTTCCCAAAGCCCGCTTCTCTTTCGTAACCTAACCCAGCTGAACCCAGTCGACACCTTCCCATCCCATTTCCTTGGAACCAACTTAACTTTATGCTGCCATTTATGACCATGTTTTTCAAGTGGTCTCTTTATCATGCAAGAGCTTTGTGTCCATTTTTCCGCTCTCATATCTGTGCCTCGTGCTCCGCTTATCTCGCTGTCCTAATAATATTCGGCGAGGTATAGAAATAGTGAAGCTGTTCATTACACAATGTGCTCCAGAAAGTAGAGGCAGCGTCGTTAAATGAGCCATGTCCCGCTACACGTCTTCTACTGGCACTGGAACTTTCTTCAGACATATCTAATTCAATCTTTCCTCCAGTTTCAAACACATCGAGCGGATATTTCTTGCTCTGACGCTTCTCTCTCTCGCTCTCTCTTAAGATCTTAATTCGCCTCTCCCGACGCTGCGCTGCTTCCTTGCACATGCGTCTCTTCACTGCTCCATAAAATATAACGCATTTTTTATATTCATGATTTCACTTTTATCTCACCGACCCCCGGAGGAATGAAGTAACAGGCGGGGAGGGAGGGCCGAAGGAAACTCTTAATGAGGAGGCTTGTAGTTTACCGGAACGTCTCAATAGACAAATGACTAGGCTGCGGGCTGCACGGCCACTTAGTCGGGGTTCGATTCCTGCCAGGGGCAGTGTCCAGGCTGCAAGGCTTACTCAAGTTCTCGCCTCTCAGTTCAGTGGGCAGTGGGGGTTACTTTCCGCAGAGCAAGGAGATTGTCAGTCACCTCCGTCTGAGTGCTTGGACCTACACCTGTATTTCGATACAAGTGTACCAAATGGGTTTTCGTAGCACTAACGTTGTAGAGCTAGTATTTGGGGATGCTCGGTTTAAATCTTGTCTCCGAGTCACCTGCTGTGCTGAGTGAGGCTTCGTGGTTTGCCACCGGGATAATATGTTTCCTTCCAAGTCCTTCGAATTCGCCAGTCATCTTATTGTTCGATAGGGTATAGTCGAGATAGTGATAAAGTGGTTAAATGAGCAATACACACACTAATACGTCATCATGACGTGCTGACGTGTTTTCACCTGAAGAGGTGTCGTTAGGGAGGTACGGGTGAGGTCCGTGAACGAAAGGGATCCTTAATGCTTACAAAATTTCGGTCTGAAAATCTCAAGCAATGCTCTATTCTTGAAGACCTAGAACTATATGAGAGGATAATATTAAAATGGGCGCTAAAGAAAAATGATGCGAAGGTGTGGGCTGGGATCGTCGATTCGGGATGCAGACCAGTAGCGCCCTCTTGTGAACAAGCACTTAACAAGGCTGTCGCTGCTCTACACGCTTTACAAATCACTAGAGCACACGCTAAGTCTTCTCAATCGGCTTTCACTAGTCGTTTTCTGGTAACGGATCTTAACAATGGAGAATCTTCAGCTTCTGTGGTCACGCTGTTGCTCGCTGGCTAGCACTCCACAACCCGTAATTCCACTTGATTACAGCGCCATCACTTCTCAGCCCCTTGCAGAATTCAACTCAACTACTTCAAGACAAAATCGAAGTTACTTTTTCGACGGGCGGTTTGCTGCCAATTAGTTCGTCTTGACGTCAAGAATCTTGAGACCCACGACCAAAGACTTTATTATCAACTGCACCCTTGCGGTAATAGTCCTCATGTAACATCGTCTCTGACGAGAAGATGGGGTTGTCTCTTGTGAATATGCTTGGCTTTTCGTCAAGTGTACGTAACGCACATATAGAATATTATTAAAAAAATTTCCTTTTCACTATATACACGTTAACAGATGATGGAAGGTGTACTTGTGAAATTAAATCTAGGATTGCCATGGCAAAAGCTGCATTTAGCAAGAAGAAGAATCTTTTTACCAGCAAATTGGACTTAAATTTGAGAAAGAAACTAGTGAAATGCTACATTTGGAGCGTGGCTTTGTATGGGGCTGAAACTTGGACACTTAGGGCAGTAGATCAGAAACACCTGGAAAGCTTCGAAATGTGGTGTTGGAGAAGGATGGAGAAGACCAGTTGGACCGATTATGTGAGAAATGAAGAAGTGTTATTTAGAGTCAGTGAGCAGAGGAATATCCTACACGAAATAAGAAAACGGGTGGCTAACTGGATTGGTCATATCTTACGCAGTAATTGCCTCCTAAAAGAAGTTATTGAAAGAAAGACAGAGGGGCAGATAGAGTGACCATAAGACGGGGAAGAAGACGTAAAAAATGCTGGATGACCTTGGGGACAGAAGAGGATATTTTCATTTGAAGGAGAAAGCTCTAGATCGCATTAAGTGGAGGAACTGTTTTGGAAGAGACTGTGGACCTGTCGTCTGACAGATTACAGATGAATGAATGAATGAATATACACGTACAAGCCCTCTCAGTACACGTTTGCAAAGCAGATCATGCCTATCTTATGTATCTTATGCTACAACGGCAGCTTAGTCGCTTGAACTATCGTCAGTTTGATAACAGCCAAATTTGGTCCGTGTTTATAAACTCAACTCATTGCTCTAGCTGTCTTGGTTATAACGTCTCGGCACGGACCACATAGAAAACAATTCCTCTATTATTGTATTCGTGTCCGTTTCAGCGGGAACGTGTTTACCGGGTTGTTGCCCAGAAATGAGTTGCATAACCCCATTTATTAAGAATCTTCTGCCCTAGCAAAGGGCGTTTTCT